ACTTATTGCAAGGGTAAAACCCTTTAAGCCTAAAAGATGAGGACATACTCCTTGGTGGTTCCACCACATTAGGGGCTACTGTAAGTCTAAGCGGAGGTGCCTTTCTAAAGGTAACCTCAGGGAATTCTGGCAATGAATCTCCCAATATAGGGTCGTCTTTGAGATAGCCCAATTTTTCTTAATTATTTTGGTGACCTCTCTGAATTAGCCGGAAAAGTTCGTAATGAAAGGGCAGAATTTTCCTGGTCTTATTTTCTTCTCTATAGTAGGCAAATCTGCCCTATTGAGTGAGCCAACCTCCTGAATAATCTGGTTTGGGTTATTTGGATCATATCCTTTTTCTGTAAACCTGGTTCTGAGCAACAAAGATTGATTCTGATAGTCGGCTAGGTTGGTACAATTTCTCCTTAGCCTGAGAAACTGCCCTCTTGGGAGATTATTTAACCATGTTGGATGGTGGCAGCTGTGGGTATCTACCCATTCCTGTCCGTACTCTTGAAGTATGTTCTTGTTAAAATATTACTACCATCGTTAATCAGAACCAAAATCTAAAAAGTTGATTTCTTTAAAATCATATAAGACAACTTGATATTAAGATCATTATTATTAAGAGTAATAAAAAAGATTTTGCAGTGAAAATTCATCTCCCTGCCATAAAAGAAACACATCGTCTAAGTACAGTCGGTAAAATATATGGGGAGGCCAGTCCCAGGAATATATCAAATCCTCCTCCCACCTGGCCATGAAGAGATTGGCCAGGCTGGGGGCAAACTTGACCCCCATAGCAACACCGGTGACTTGCAAATAAAAAGCATGGTCAAACCAAAAAATGTTTCTGCCCGTGATTTGTCATAATTGTGATGATGAAACTCATGAAAACCCCAAATCCACAATCTCAGAAAATTAGAATATTGTGAAAAGGTGCAATATTCTAGGCTCAATGCGTCCCACTCTCATCAGCTAATTAAGCCATAACACCTGCAAAGGGTTTCTGAGCCTTTAAATGGTTTCTCAGTCTGGTTCAGTAGGAATCACAATCATGGGAAAGACTGCTAACCTGACAGTTGTGCAGAAAACCATCATTGACACCCTCCATAAGGAGGGAAAGCCCCAAAAGGTAATTGCAAAAGAAGTTGGATGCTCCCAAAGTGCTGTATCAAAGCACATTTATAGAAAGTTATGTGGAAGAAAAAGGTGCACAAGCAGCAGGGATGACCGCAGCCTGGAGAGGATTGTCAGGAAAAGGACATTCAAAAGTGTTGGGGACTTTCACAAGGAGTGGACTGAGGCTGGAGTCAGTGCACCAAGAGCCACCACACACAGACGGATCCTGGACATGGGCTTCAAATGTCGTATTCCTCTTGTCAAGCTGCTCCTGAACAACAAACAACATCAGAAGCATCTTACCTGGGCTAAAGAAAAACAGACCTGGTCTGTTGCTCAGTGGTCCAAAGTCCTCTTTTCTGATGAGAGCAACTTTTGCATCTCATTTGGAAACCAAGGACCCAGAGTATGGTGGAAGAATGGAGAGGCACACACTGCAAGATGCTTGAAGTCCAGTCTGTGTTGATTTGGGGAGCCATATCATCTGCTGGTGTTGGTGCACTGTGCTTCATTAAGTCCAGGGTCAACATAGCTATCTACCAGGAGATTTTGGAGCACTTCATGCTTCCTTCTGCAGACAAACTTTATGGGGATGCTGACTTCATTTTCCAGCAGGACTTGGCACCTGCCCACACTGCCAGAAGCACCAAAACCTGGTTCAAGCACCATGGGATTACTGTGCTTGATTGGCCAGCAAACTCGCCTGACCTGAACCCCACAGAGAATCTATGGGACATTGCCAAGAGAAAGATGAGACATGAGACCTAACAATGCAGAAGAGCTGAAGGCCGCTATTGAAGCATCCTGGTCTTCTATAACAGCTCAGCAGTGCCACAGGCTGATAGCTTCCATGCCACGCCACATTGAGGCAGTAATTGCTGCAAAAGGGCCCAAACCAAGTACTGAGTACATATGCATGCTTATACTTTTCAGAGGTCCGATATTGTTCTATGTACAATCTTTGTTTTATTGATTGCATGTAATATTCTAATTTTCTGAGATTGTGGATTTGGGGTTTTCATGAGCTGTAAGTCATAATCATCACAATTATGACAAATCACGGCTTGAACTATCTTGCTTTTTCATGTAATGAGTCTATCTCATATATTAGATTCACCTTTTAATTTGCATTACTGAAATAAATGAACTTTTGCAGGATATTCAAATTTTTCAAGTTTCACCTGTATGTGCCCCCAAGCAAAACTTAAATACTATGGTTTTGAGTCCTCAACGTTTCCAATTGGTAGAGGAACTAGACAGGGCTGCCCGCTCTCTCCCATATCATTTATCTTGGCTTAGGAGCCCCTAGCAGAAGCTATTCGTATACATCCTGATATTAACGGGCTGGACGTAGCTGGTTCCCAGCATAAGCTGTCGTTGTTTGCGGACGATATTATGCTGTCTGTTACTAATCCAGGGGTTACTCTGCCCAACCTACTGGCGGTTCTGGACTCCTTCGCTGCTCTTTCAGGCCTCTATGTCAATCCCGCTAAATCTAAAGCCATGTCTATTACCCTTTCCCCCACGTTGCTAGCAACACTGAAACAATTGTTTTCTTTAATGGCTTTCGGTCTTGCCCTACCTTGATGGAAATGTCTTCTTGGGCTCATCTCCCGCTTTCGTGGTTCGGTAGAATTAATGCGATCCGTATGACTTATCTCTCAAAATTATTAGATGTGTTTTGGGTTTTACCGATCCCTGTTCCTTTGCATATCTTACGTATTTATCAACGGAAGCTTCTGTCTTTCATCTGGGGCTCCTCATGCCCTAGAATTAATAAAAGAATTCTACTTGCCCATAGGAACAAAAGGTAGACTATCTGTCCCAAATCTTCATGCATACTACTTAGTGGCGAATATTGCACCACTAGCCCATCTTCACGTGTCTCGCAATATTCCCGTGGGCCACAGTGGATCTGATGGACTCCCACCCGACGCCACTTTCCTTTGTCGTGGCTCCCCCGTTCATCGCCCTTCGCCTCTTAGTCCGACATTAACACATACGCTTCAACTTTGGGACGCCATTAAATATTCTGCGGGTCTCATTTCTGCTCACTTACCTTTTGATGCGCCTATTCCACAACCCATTGTTTCCCCCAAGCCTTGACAACCCTGGACAGTTTGCGTGGTTGCCAGCTCATGGCTTCAATGATATACACTCCTTGCTCTCTCCTGCTCGGATACTCCCTTTTGAGACTCTCCGTTCTTCTCATGACATCCCGTTGACGGAACATTTTAGCTACCGCCAACTCCATCACTTTCTTACTACATTATTACAAGCCCATTCGGGACCCTATAGGCTGACCCCCTTCGAAAGTTTTTGCAGGCACAGGCCTCATGTGCCAGGTTTGATCTCACATATCCACTCCGCTGTCATTTCTTATAGGACACCCCCGGTTCACTCTGATCAGCATTGGCAATTGGAACTCAGGGGTTGTCTAGATCATGACTGGCAGATCATGACTCAAGCATTGCCTAAATGCTCAAGGAATGTTACTATATTAGAAAAATTACAAGGTCCTTTACAGATGGTATTATATGCCTGCCCGTCTCGCTTATTTTATTCCCTCATATTCTCCGACATGCTTTTGGGGTTGTCAACAAATAGGTACCATAGCCCATATTTGGTGGACTTGCCCCAAGGTATGCAGAATATGGATTAGGGTCTATGCCCTTCTCTGTATTATGCTACACACGGATATTAAGCATAACACATACAAAGCGCTATTATTTAAACCATTAGTAGGCCTGCTCAGTCTTCAGCGGCAGCTAGCATTGCATCTATTTATGGTTACATAATTGATGATCGCTAATGGCTATGCTGTTGGACACCCACCCAAAGTCTATGCAGATCTGGCATCCCTGGATTGATGTGGCTCAACCGTCTAGATTGGACCAGACCCTCCTGTCGATATAAGACTCTCCTGGTGCGATCCCCTGGAGCCCTTTCTCTGTCTTTACTATTCTTGCTTCTCCCTTCTCTTTCTTCCTTTTGTTTTTGTCAGTTTTCATGTTACATGTGCCGATTGTGATACCCCTAGAGAACTGCGCCTGTAATGTTTTATGCACCTGTCGGACTTTCTCGAGAGTCCTTGATGTAGAGCTCTGATGTGCGTCTAGTGACACTCTATGCTCAGCCTTTTCTATCATCTGTATGCAACTTTGGTGACTATCCTTGGCCTTTGGCCACTAGCTCATTGGTCACTACTTGTTAGCTGTTAACGCAATTTATAAGGTTTCATTCCATCCTTTTATATGTGTTTCTGTATTCAGTTTCTCTCCATCTTAATACTTCAGTGCATTTGTCTTGTCCTCCATCACCAGAATTGTACACCTTATTTTTTTTTTTGTGTCAATGAGCTTGCTTTTGACTGTTTCATTGTTGTTATGCTGTCTATAATAAAATTAATAATTGTAAAAGAATAAAATGTCATGTTTAGTCACACACAAATATGCTTAAAGAGAAAAGCATCTTTTCTTTGACAGTTCCTTTATTATCCTAAAAAAACATAATTCTCAAAACCACTGCACCCCATGCATTGTCTGCACCTGTACCACAGAGGCTAGAAACAAAGCTTAGACAATGGAAAATGTATTATGTTGTTACTTCTAATACAAGTGTTTTAGATCAGCAATTTCCAAAACAGCCCTAAGGAACTGCCAATGGCTCCAACCATCTAGAGCCTCTCACTGAATCAGAGTTGAAAATGACAGTTTTTATTTTTTTAAAGTGTAACTAAAAGCTGTGCGGCTGACTGGAAAGTTTTCTGTTAATGTCCTGGGTGAGCTGGAGCTGTGAAACCCTGTTTTAGATAGCATGAACCACAGGAGACAGTACTGATTGCCATTGGGTAAAAAGGCATATGATTCAGGTCACTTTTTTAAAGAACAGATATACTAATTAAGGCCATAATCAACAGCATCCACACTGTCCTCAGCATAGAGCTTGAAAAATCCCAAGACTAGTTCTGGAGCAGTGAAGGTTGCCTTGACAGCTGGATCTTGTAGCATACGATCATGCCAAGCTTTGATGTTAGGAGTCTTATCCAAAACACTAGAAAAAAGGAAAACAAAAAACATAATACAAGACATATTTGGACCATTTTTGAAATCTGTCTAGCAAACTGTAGTTGCCTATCCCTTTTCCCATAAACAACCTCAAAATAATCTGGCATCAGGGGTGTCTGCTCAGTGCTTCCTCCTCCTGCTCATCCAACTGCATGTCTATGGAATGACATTAAAGATCTTTAGGTGAGTAGATAGAACTGTAGATAGTAATAGTAAATAGTAGAACTGCCATCAGCATGAATATAACCAGAAGGATTGGAGAGACTACCAGTCCAATTCCTCTCAGAATTACAAAAAGGGCAAAAGGACTTAAAACCGGTTCATTTTGTGGGTTCCCACCTTTTGAGAAAGCGCTTATGACAATGGAAATACTGGTATAACATTGTGCTGCATGCTCACGGGGATTGTCAAAGGTGTTTAGTGGATACAGAGTAAAAGGGCACATACATATTTTGAGCTTGGGCTGGGTCAGCTTCCTCACTTTAGGAGGTAAAATCTGGTGACTAGTATGATTTTAGAGCTTCTAAATAATACAAAGATTAATTCAAAACTGCAGTAAGACATTGATAAGCTAATAAGGATCTCACATACAATGAGTAAGCAAAAAAAAAAAAAAAAAAGGGATGTCCTTACCCTTCGAATACAAAAAGGCTGAACCTTTCAAACCAGGGCCAAACCATGTAATCAATAAAGGACACAGATTCACCACCAAAGTATGGTGTGTTCTTCTTAGCCAGTGCCTGAAAACAAGGCAGAGCACAGCAACATTTTAATAACAGTGGCTTTTACCCATTTCAGCATTATCTTGTATCTTAACATTTTTAGAGTACACTATATTAACCACTTCAACACCTTCAGGATGAACCCATACATCCTTGGGTTGAAGTGATTGTGCCAGGATCATGGCTGTACATGCAGCAGTGATCCTGCGACAAAATTTTCAGCCGATTAGCTTTCTTGTAGAAATGATCTGAGTGACTCTACAGATGCCTGATCATTTCTACAGAGCACGGACAGGGTCTCCCCCCTTGCAAAGTGGTTTAATGAGATTGGAGGACGGTACATCCATACCTGCCTCTCCTCTGTGATGTAAGAAACCAAAAGCAACAAGGGTTTCACCAGTTTCAGGTTGGCCATTTACAAGCCGTTACTGGTTTGTAAAGCATCTGATCAAAACGGATCTTGGTTTGATCTGATGCTTTGGAATGCAGAGCTTGACACACCAAACTCCATGACTCAAAGCAGTACCTATTTAGACAGTTCTGCAGGAAGTTTCAGTTAAAGAAAAGGAGATTGAAAATGAAATGGTATACGAGAACTAGAAGATGAAACCTCTGAGACAGAGTCGCTTCATGTCTACAAACACATTAGGTTTGCAATAAAATAAGTACACATACAGCAGCTTTCCATGGAGGTACTTGAGTTAGTAGGAAACCTCTTCAAGTCATTCAACCCTAGGGAAATGGCCATAGGAAAAACAGGAATTGTACTGTGTTACTGAAATAAAAAGGACGCTGGGGGCTTTGTGGTACAGCAACAGCATTATTATACAGTTTTTTTAAAGCACCAACAGTTCGCTCAGCGCTGTACATTACAAAAGGGGGACAGAACATGCAACAGTAACAATACAATGCAAAACACAAGGGGTTCGAGGGCCCTGCTCATTCGAGCTTACAATTTAGGATGAATACATATTGTATCTCTCTCTGCTCTGGTCAGCTCCAGCAAAGATCATTCAGCAAGTTTACCTGAATTAACTACTATATCACTTCGGTGGCCAGTTTTCTCCCACACATGGCATGAAACTTCCTAGTTTAGGATTGACACTTTGGGCCGATAGTAGTACCTACTTTGTTTCCATAATTCACTGGTGTGCATGCAGGAGTACAGTTCTGAAGATTTCAGTCACAGGTTGTGTGATACAGTAATGATTCTGGATGAGTGGTTTTGAACATAAATATAACATACTGTATGCTGTGTGTGTTGCTAACAGAAGGGAGTCCATTCATTGAAAAAGGTGTGTAGTTTCCATGTCTAAACAAAAACAACTGTTAGGCTTACCGGTAACAGCATTTCTACAATCCTTACAGGATGGCACAACTGAGAGATGAGAGGCTCCTCCCTACAGGAAAACACAATCAATTTACAGCTTTTATAAGTCCCCTCATTTCCCCTTACCCTCCACTTTGCAATAAAGTAACTACCGAAACCGGTCCACAAGGGGAATAATTCTACATGGGCACTCACCAATGACTAACTTGGGAGTTTTTTTTTGGGGGGGGGGGGTTTTCAGTATGGAGGGAAGTCAGCCTGCTGTCCTGGGAGGTTTGTAGAAGTGCTGTGATCAGCAAGTTTAGTGGTTGTTTTTCTCTCATCACTTACCAGGACGGAACACCTGAGAGGATAATCAAGTAACCGCAGGCCAACCTGAGGGTGGGACCACAGCCTGTAGCATCTTTTGGCCAGGCTAGGTCTTGCTGCGACAGCACTTCAATCCGGTAATTTTTCAAGAAGGTGTCTTGACTGGACCAGGTGGCTGCACTGCGAAGTCCCTTCCTTGGTCCAGCATAAGATAAATGCAGATAAGTGAGGAGACACCTCCGCACATTTAGACGGTGGTATTTCTCTTCTTTTGCATTCCTGGGATTATCACAGAAGGAAGGCAAAATTATTTCCTGTGTCCTATTAGATAAGGAAGCTACCTATCTGGAAGGATGAACAAAAAGGGTTCTTTGAATGACAAATTTTGTATGTCTCCAACTCTTCTAGCTGTGGTGATAGCCAACAAAAGAGATCATTTTAAATGTCAAAAACATAAAAAGTAACCTGCTCGGCTTGTTCAAAAGGGTGCTTCGATAAGGCTTCTAGCACTCTGGACAGATCCCATGGCAGAAACCTCTCTTTTGTGGCTGGGGTAATTTCCCTGGCCACCAAAAAACATTTAACTAAAAAGGTTCTCAAGTTAATCTAGTGCAGGCATGTCCAAAGTCCAGCCTGCGGGCCATTTACGGCCCGGGGGTCGGTTTAATACGGCCCTCCAACAGCCCTCCCTGCTCTGTGCAATGTGGCCCTCCCATGGCCCTCCCTTCTATGGCAGACAGTCTTCTGCTTGAGAGCAGAGGGCAGTGCGCATGCCTGACTGCGGCGTGTTCTTCCTGGTCTGTGTAAATGCGGCTGTCGCACGGCCCTCCCTTCTGTGGCAGACAGTCTTCTGCTTGAGAGCAATGCGCATGCGTGACTGCGCCGCGCTGGGAGCGACAGAGGGCGGTGACGTCAGGGCCGGGCTTCCAGCGTGAAGTGTGTTTCTCTTCCCCTCCCAGCTGCCGAGCAGAGACTTCAGCTCCAGCTACCTTTTTCACCCTTCACATTAGTGCAGGTAAGTTTTTTTTTAAATTTATTTTCAATACATTGTGAAAACTCAGCTGTCAGTTGATCTTAATGTTATGAAATGAAAAGTATGTCGTTTGCAATTAACTTGGCATAAAATAATTTATTTGCATTTAATTGTAATGGTTCAAAGAATGTTCGGAAAAATGTTCGGCCCTCCACCATGTTCACTTCATCCAATCTGGCCCTCTTTGAAAAAAGTTTGGACACCCCTGATCTAGTGTCAAGCAAAACTGAAAGTGCAGCAATTTGTAGTTGAAGAGTGCTAACTGCCACCCCTCTCTCCAGATCATCCTGGAGAAACTCCAGGATTATAGAAACAAAAAAGGTAGAGGATACCAGTTTCCGTTTGCACCATGAAGAAAAGATTTTCTATTCTTTTGAGTAAATTTTCCTGGTTACAGGCTTTCTGCTCAGGAGGAGGGTGTCTGTGTGTCTGAACAACCCTTACTCTTTAGGATCTGGCACTCACTAGCCAGGCTGTCAGTTGGAAGAACTCCGCCTTGGGTTGAAGCACCAAACCCTGAAGAAGATGATCTGGAAGGATCAGAAGCCTCCAAGGAGGTGCCACCGAGAGGGATTTTAGGGCTGCGAACCACGCTCTCCTTGGCCACCAAAGGTGCGATCAGGAGGAGATGGCCTGACAACTGGCTGAGCTTCGAGAGGGGGGGGGGGGGGGTACAGAAGATGTCTGCATCTGGTCCCACCCTTTAGGTTCAGGTAGGCCACTGTGGTGGCTTTGTCGGAGCTGACCTGCCTGAGACACTGTTCTTGAAAGCCTTCAGGACTTTGCCTACCACTCCGAGTTCCCTGGAGTTGAATGAAGACAGGGGATGCCAAAGCCCAAGGTCCTTGAGACAAGGCGATTTCCCAAAGTGAGCACCCACCCCCAGGTGTTTGCATCTATGACCACTTTTAGGGGGTACCAGTGAGCCCAGTGCCTGCCTTCATGCAGATTGCTGGGGGGTTACCCACCATAGTGAGTATTTTACCTGTGGAGCACGGACTAACCTTTTGTTAACCAGGGATTGTTTCTTCATGTCGCAGCAGAACAGAAGGAAGGACTGCAGGTCGAGTGGAATTGTGCTCACACTATGGCTGCCGACATTAAACCCAGTATCCTCAAGACCTCCCTTGGGGAGCTTGAAGGCAACTATCAGGTCCCTAACCCAGGGCTTGAAAAAGCCACTTGCCAAATGCGAGGAGAAATTCCTCTGTGTCGAGCGGATGTGAGCGGTGAGCACAGATGAAGCATGGAGCGACTGCACCAAACCTCGTTGTGAAGCCGAGTTCCAGTTTACAACTTCCGGTTTCCGTCTTCTGCGGCACCGCCGCCGAGGGGACAGGTGCAGGAGAGGTCTGCTCTCCTCTGCGGAGGGGAGACACCCTCTCCACCACCGCGGGGGACAATAAGTACTGTATACAAACATGTCTTAACACTATAATGGAGTACAAGGGAGCTGGGATATACATTACTCAGTAATGTATATCCCAGCTCCCCTGTACTCCATTATAGTGATGACATTTATACAGTAATGATTACTGTATACATGTCATATCACTATAATGAAGTACAGGGGAGCTGGGATATACATTACTGTGTACAGTTTTAAATTTTGGACTATTTAGTCTAAAGAAAAATGTAATTTCATAAGTTTTAAGGGGGCGGACCTGGGTAAGGTTGGGTGGGGCAACTGGTGAAGAGTAAGTTTTGTGACTGGCTAGTAGGTCTGGACTCAAAATTTTAACCCCTGCCCTAACCTTGTCCATTGGTAGAAAAAGTTTTTGAGCTCTTGTGTCCACCACATAGCCTAAAAACGTTTTGACCTGTTCCGGCTCCAGAGAGGATTTCTCTATGCTCACTGTCCAGCCCAGGGACTCCAGGGTGGTGATGACCCTCCCCGTGTCTGCCTTCACCTGGACAGAAGAGGGAGCAAATATTAGAAGAAGATCATCTAAATAGGGAATAAGGGATATGCCCTGAAGGTGCAGTAGTGCCACTGCTACGGCTAGGAAGAGCCCTGAAATGCCAGTGGACGGTTTCCTCCCCAATTACTATTGCAAACCTTAAGTATGCCTGATGGGACATGCAAATAGGCATCCTTAAGGTCCAGTGTAGTCAAAGGCCTTACTTAGGAGATTTTTGCATACGGAGTAAATACTCTCCATGGTAAATCTTTTGTACTCCAAGAATTTGTTCAGGCTTCTGAAGTTTATAATCAGGAGGTATTTTCCTGAAGGTTTGCCAACAACAAATACGTGGGAGCAAAATTCCTGGTATTGTTGGCTTTTGAGTATGGGTACTACCACCAATTGTTCCGCCAGCTCAAACTCCTTCCAAGAGAGCTTACCTCTTTAAAGGTGTCCAAAGGAAGGCAGGCTAGGGTGATCATTTGTGGGGGCCATGACGAGAACTCAAGGCGATAGCGCTCTTGTACTAGTTGGCAGATGTAGGTACTGTCTGAGATTTTCTCCCACTGGGAGGCGAAACGTGACAGGCAGCCCCCTATCCTGATGTCACTTGGCTTCTTTAGAGCTAGCACCTGGAGAGGAAAACAGCATATTGCTTCTTTGCCTTCCTCTCCCAATGCCCCATTTTTTATTCTGTTCCTTTTTGGCCCACACAACATACTTATATTTTTCTCTTTTGGGTTTAACTGGGAATTTCTTCCCCTTTTCAGAGGGCCTGGACAACACATTGTCCAGCCCTGGAGCGAACAGCAGGAAACCTTCAAAAGGTGATACCACATAGGTTTACCTTTTGAAGTTAAGTCACCTTCCCATGCTTTAACCCAGATAGCCCTTCTGGCTAAATCAATGAGTGAGGCTGTTTTAGCTAAGGCTTTAATGGCTATGACCGCAGCATCCGCCAGGTAGGATACTGCCTTCCCCATCACTGAGGGAATCTAGCACTTCATCTGACTTGGCCCACTGCAACAGGTGTTTGGTCAGTCTTTCCATGCCAACGTCTGTATTTGTGGCAATGCAGGCTGCTGCCAGAGCTGGGAGCATGGAAGATGTGTTAGCCTACCATGCCCTCCTTAGGAGGGATTCAGAGCGCCAGGCCGTCAAATCCCTAATGCTCCCTGAATCCTCGAAGAGAGATCAGACCTCTTGGTAACTTGAAACATCACAGAATCCAACCTAGAAAGATTAAATAATCTATCTTCCTCCTCCTCTTTAAAGAGGAACCTTCTTTTCCAAGTCTTAGGTCTGACCATTCTCCTTTCAGGATCCTTACATTCTTGAAGGTTAAATCCTTTAGGGATTGATAGAAGGGGAGCACCCTAGCATGGGCCTTAACTAAGCCCCTATACATTTCATCCTGTGCTGAGGTCTCTCTGGGGGTTTCTGGGATTTCTTTAGTGACATAAACCACCTGAAGGAGGCCCTCCAAGTTCTCCAGCAGAAAGAGGTCCCTGCCAGGTTTAATCTCCTCACCTGCTTCACTACCCAGATCTAGGTCCACCTTCTCCCCTGAGCTGTGGTCTGATTTAGAGTGACTATCCAGCTCTCCCTTACTCTCCTCCTCATCCCTGTCTTGGGCTGGGTAGACAGGAGAAAGACTGGGGCCCCCTCTGGAATTAAGGCTTTCCTGTGAGGACGGCCCTTCCCTAGGGGTTAGCTCCTCTGGGCCTGGGCCCTGCGGCTGTGCCACCGAGGTTTGAAAAGACTGGATGGTGGCTACCACCTCCACTTGCATAGATGCTAGGGAATCTTTCATCAAGCCTAAAGCCGCTTTCCCTTCTAGCTTCGTAATGGTTTACGATGGGACCTAGCTAGCTTCTCCCCACAATAACCACATTTCCTACAGGAGCTAGAGCCCACGGGTACAGTAGGCAGACTATCAGGGGCTTCCTGGGTTCCGCTTGCGGATTCTGAAAGAGAACTCCAATTGTTTAGTCTCTCTCTCTACCTATCCCCCTCCTGTTGCTGTGATTTAGCATAAAGTTAACTGGGGGGCATCTGGGCCCCCTCTCCCCTCCTAGCACTCCTCCTTAAGAAAGGCACTCACAGAGCCCAGACTTGGACTTGCCCGCAGTCACCAGTGCTGCCATCCCTCCTTCTCCATGAGGTGGTTCAGTCTGGTCTCTGCTGCAGATGCCAGGTGTACCATCCTGGACTGTCAGTTGACCACTGTGAGCCGCCCTGCTATCCTCTTCACAGCCCTGCGTCTCTCAGCCCTCTTGCGGGTGGCACCATGTTCCTGGCCCCCACCCACTTCCAGTCACATGGCTGAAAGATCCTGCCAATGGCAGAACAAGGCTTGGAGTGCACGCCCTCTTTCCTGCAATCCACTGAGCATTGGAGTCGTGTGAGGGAAGAGAGAGACAGCTGACATTTCAACACACTACAGCGATGGTCACACTCCCTTGAGAATAGAGTGCTGGTGTCAACTGGGGATGACCTGTGAAAAGGAACGAGCCTGCAGGTTAGTTCAGCCCTCCCCGGCCTCCCTATGCCTGCCTTATAGGGGTACCATCCGACCCTCCTCGGTCTTCTAGCCACAAAAACAAATGTTCCATTGCAGGAAGAAACACAATCAATACTGGAGGGCAAGGGGAAGGGAGGGGACCTATAACAGCTGTAAACGGATTGTGTTTCCTGCAGGGAGGAGTCTCATCTCTCAGGTGTACCGTCCTGGAAGGCGATTGTACAAATAGGAAATTTCTCCTAATAGCTTCTTATATTTGAATAATATGTTAGTTAGTATATAGAGTATAACATACATCCCACTGTACAGCAAGGACTGTATAATGTACAGCATGGTGAATAAAGAAAAGTGGTGGGGCAAGCCAGCATGCTGGGTTCCCTTAACAATCAAAAAAAATCTTACCTCTTCCAGTTTTTTCAGCTTCTCAAGGAACTGTGATTTTAATTCAGTTGTGTCTTCATTATTTTTCTGTGCAAACACAATCTTGTAAAATGCAGTTGTGACCTGAAAAACAATAAAGGTTGCAGTATTGTTTAGTTATATTGTTAGGCCAAAAAACAAACGTTACACCATTCAGATTCGTATGTCTGTACAACTCTTAATGACATTTTTGCCTAATACTGACAGTAGTAAAACAGATGGAGGGGAGAACTAAGTGGAACAATTAAATTTGTTGAAAAAGGTTTTCTTTTTTAATAACAAAACATGTTGTACTTACCTGCTCTGTGCAATGGTTTTGCACAGAGCAGCCCAGATCCTCGTTCTCTGGGGTTCTCCGCTGGTGCTCCTGGCTCTGCCTTCTAACTACCCCTCTAAAAAGCCATTAGCTGGGGGGGTTACTTGTGTGGGCTTGATCTCGAGCTGCACTGTGTGCATCTTGACTCGGCCCTATCCCCTGATCCCTCATTGCTGGATTTGATTGACAGTAGCAGGAGCTTCACATAGTCCAGTGAGGAAGAAGAGAAAGCAGTGTCACTGCTCTCGGGCACAGCACTGGATCAAGATCAGACTCAGGTAAGTATTTGGGTGGGGAAGGGAGCTGCACCTAAAAAGGTTTTTCACCTTAAAATATACAGGATGGCCTAAAATGGTTGTAAACCTCAGACATGCATTATGCATAAAGCATATCCCTTTATAGTGTATACTTGTCTCATAGAGCATAAAGTCTCAGCTCTGTCTGCTGCTTCATTCCTCTGCCATCAGCCTTAGTCCATTCTGAAAAATGGTGACAGGGGAGTGACCTCCAGCAGATTGTCAGTCTCAGCTCTGTTCCTGTGAGCTGTGTGAAGGGAGTGTGTCTCTTCCCACCAATCAGCTTTCAGAGCTCTCCTCACTGAGCTCTGCAGTGTGTAATTCCAGCTCTCTGCCCCGTCTTTTCTGAACTCTCAGACAAGCTATATAAATTCAGCACTTTAAATGGATGTAGAGAATACTGAAGATAAATAGTTACAACTTATGTAGGAGGATTTGTTTCATCTCCGTGTATCACTTAGTCACTTCACTGGGTATATGTAAGGGTTTACAACCACTTTAAGGTAGAAAACCTATAGCCTTTACAACCACTTTAAAAGGAACAGCTCTGCTCCAAAGTTTACTCCAGCAACCCGTCCAATGTAGCTACATCATTGTCCGCAACCATAGTATTATATGCTTTACCTCCATCCCATAGATTTTATATGGGGTTTGTTCACCTTTTCTACTGAAATAAACATTAATACAGTTTTTATTAAAGATGCTAGCACAATTTTTCAGTTAGCCAGAAAGTGTTGAGTACTTTATGAATATTTGATTTAGCAAACCATATTTTAGGCTGATTCATATGCCCCAAGGTTCAGTTAAATGCAAGCAAAGATTTAATTTGGGGGATCACTGGTCTAATGTAAGAGATCTAATGTAAGAGATCTGGTCTAATTCAACCTTTATATTTACACTTTCCACCACCCAAATCACACATATTCTCATCGTACATACTGTAGAAAAAGCTTCCATCAACATCTTCTGTTCAGCTTTTGCATAGGGGTCAGATGGAATCAGCTTAGTCCCAGGAAACACTTCATCCAGGTATTCACAAACAATTGGCGATTCATAGATGATCTTCCCATCAGAGGTCTCAATGGTAGGTACCAGACCCAAGGGATTCTTCTCCAAATACCAGTCCGGTTTGTTCTTCAGATTGATGTTCACTACTTCATGACTATAATGACAACGCACAAGAAAAACAAAGTCACACAAAAGGTCCATCACACCTGTGTCAGATGGTCTAAATATTCCAGAATCTTATCTGGACGTTGCGTTGTTATCCCATTCATTATAAATGAGATGCTTAAACACAACACCTATTAATGTGCTGCATAACACAATGGAAAGCTTATACATGTGAACAGGGGCGGACTGACAACTCATGGGGCCCCCGGCAATAGGGGGATCATGTGGCCCCTGTGTCCTTGCCCACACTCAAAAAAAAAAAAAAAAAAAAAAAAAAAAAAAAAGAAGAAGGACCAGGGGCATTTCATGGGGCCCCCTACTGACCCTGGGCCCTTGGGCAGTGCCCGTGTGATCAAATGGTCAGTCTGCCCCTGCATGTGAATATGGATGCAAAAGGCAGCAGACTGTAAAATCTAAAAATTATATTTTGGCTAAATGGGCACAAATTTACACACACAGACACACAAACACTTGTGGAAAGCCTTCTCAGAAAAGTGGAAGGCTGCTAAAGCTGTAATAAAGGGTGCTCGAACTCTGTACTGATTTTTTGATTTTGAAATGGAATGTAAAACAGATGGTCAGGTGTCCACAAATGTTGGTCCTATACCTTTGTATTTACATTTTGGAATATGACTTTTTTTTGTATTATTATCCAACATGCAAAAGCTTTTTTTTTTTTTTTTTTTTTTTTTTTTTTTTTAGGGTTCATGCACACCATGGTGCAGAGAGTCAGTTCTGCAAGGGCAAAACATAATCAATTGTTCTCTATTTACCCAGTTCATACCACAACACTGGTATCACGTGCAGATTTTTCTGCATGCAAAATGTATAAAAAACTCATTGAGACAATTGTGAAAACTGATGTAAATGGATGTATCTGCAAATTACATCTGCATGTCAGTTTCCATCAGTTTTCATGCACGTATGGTGTGAACTAGCCCCTAGTGACTCAATAACATTTTAAATACTACAGGTGAATGTTTAGCAGCTTATCATGTCCTAATAAAGGCCCATCCTTCTCAGTGAGGTTGATTTACTAAAGTATTTGAGACTTTTTATTTATGCATTGTTGAATAACCTAAGCTAGCACTTTACCTCATTTACAAAGCTCAGTTGACATTCACCTTGCCTAGTTAAGATGATCAAAGGCTTTCATAAACCAACATTTTTTCCACTTTTCAGATAAAAGTGTAAAAAAAGGTATTAAAGTGTTTGTAACCTTCAAAATTAAATTTATATGACTGTCTCATTAAGGACTTCATATGTGTTTTTTGGATTAATCATTTTATTTGTGGTTTTAATACTTCGTTATTACCCAATTGATCCTGCCAGTTCCCTAATAACCGATCCATGTCAGCATGGTCAGTTTGCATCCCTTTCATCAAGTTCTTAGATACAGGCAGGCTGTACAAGTCTGCAGCATGCCTATACTGTATTTTCTGTGGTTAGTGTATAGCCATGCTCCCCGCCCATTCCTTCTCCCTTTATTGACAGGCTGGTGGAGGTGACGTTTACCACCATGTATGCGACTGCTTTTCATTACCTTGGAAATGCTGGTGCTTGCCAGCAAATGTCACTTTCAGAAAGAACATATATCCTTCCCCAGTGTAAACATGCCCATCCATAGGTCCATGATGCACTCAGCAAGGAAAAGTGATCACGTGACCTTTCACCTTTTATATTACAAAGACTAAATTATTTATAGTACATGTTACCATTTGGAGATGTACAGTTGTGGCCAAAATTATTCAACCCCCAATGCTGTAAAGGGGTTTAGGGACTATAGTGTACATTTGGAATTGTATTCAGAATCAAATCCTACAAGGACGTTGTAACTACCCAAATGCAACTAAAATGACATCAATTGTTTATGTAATACAGTAGTAAATGGTTCTTATGTGGTTTCTTCATTGCCACAATTATTCAACCCCTTAAAGACTACCACTCTGAAGAACAGAGGTTCATACAGGTGCTTTCCATCAGGTATTGAAAACACCTGTGGATGTCACCGAGCAGCAATCAAGCATAATAAGCACCAATTAGGCAGCTTTAAAATGACTGTGATACTCAGCTCCTTCTAGACATTTACTGGTGTGGTTACAAACATGGTGAAGGCAAGAGAATGGTCCAGGAAGACAAGAGAAGAGGTGATTTCTCTTCACAGGAAGGGCAATGGCTATAAGAAGATTGCAAAGATGTTAAACATACCAAGAGACACCTTAGGAAGCATCATTCGCAAATTCAAGGCAAAGGGCACTGTTGAAACGCTACCTGGTCGTGGCAGAAAGAAGATGCTGACTTCGACTGCTGTGCGCTACCTGAAGCGTAGAGTGGAGAGAAGTCCCCGTGTGACTGCTGAGGAACTGAGAAAAGATTTGTCAGATGTGGGTACAGAAGTTTCAGCCCAGACAATAAGACGCACACTGCGTAATGAAGGCCTCCGTGCCAGAACTCCCAGGCGTACCCCCTTGCTGTCTCCAAAGAATAAGAAGAGTCGACTGCAGTATGCCAAAAGCCATGTGGACAAACCACAAAAGTTGTGGGATAGTGTTCTGTGGACTGATGAAACAAAATTAGAACTGTTTGGGCCCATGGATCAACGCTATGTTTGGAGGAGGAAGAACAAGGCCTATGATGAAAAGAACACCTTGCCTACTGTGAAGCATGGTGGAGGGTCAATCATGCTTTGGGGCTGTTTTGCTTCTGCAGGTACAGGGAAGCTTCAGCGTGTGCAAGGTACCATGAATTCTCTTCAGTACCAGGAGATATTGGATGGAAACGTGATGCAGTCCGTCACACACACCTGAGGCTTGGGAGACGTTGGACCTTTCAACAGGACAATGATCCCAAGCATACCTCCAAGTCCACTAGAGCATGGTTGCAGAGGAAAGGCTGGAACATTTTGGAGTGGCCATCGCAGTCACCAGACTTAAATCCGATTGAGAACCTCTGGTGGGACTTAAAGAAAGCAGTTGCAGTGCGCAAGCCTAAGAATGTGACTGAACTGGAGGCCTTTGCCCATGAAGAATGGGCGAAGATACCCGTAGATCGCTGCAAGACACTTGTGTCAAGCTATGCTTCACGTTTAAAAGCTGTTATAACTGTAAAAGGATGCTGTACTAAGTACTAAGATTGAATGTCACTTGGGGGTTGAATAAAACTGATAATGCTGTGAGCACAGAAAAGACATTTGTGGTTATTTCATTATAACTGTTATGTTATATTTGTCTGACCTACAAGTGCCTCTTTAATGTAAATGTAAGCAAGATGACTGAATGATCAAAAGCAATGTCAAACTGGCCAAAACACTCAATTTCAGTGGGGGTTGAATAATTTTGGCCACAACTGTATATTGGATTACTTTAGTTCATAAACCCACAGAAAATGATATGAAGCATTTAAGGCAGTGTGTCTCTAGATTTCTTACTTGATTCCTTTGGCAATTAGGACAAGTCTTGCTCTCTGGGCAAAGGGGCAGAATCTCATGCTGTATAGGCGAATCAATCCTTGTGGGACTGGGCATGGGGCCGCACTGCCTGAAGAAAAAAAATAAATAAAAAAATAATAGGCATGTTAAATAAATATATATATATATATTTTCATCGAATGTTACCCTGTGAGAGAACAATAGACTGCCCACATCCATCACTGCCTTCTAGAGATGCATTCTCATTATACTGTACAAACAATAGTTATATATGGTACATTTCTCTAGGAAACATGCAACTGTTTAATTTCCATAGCTACCAACTGCCCCTGCTTTCAATAGATTTGAACTTTATTTTGAATATCTTTACCTGGAAATTTTCATTGTACACAAAATCAGTTATCAATGGAGTTCAGTTTGACTTTGCTCTAGGGCCTCTTTAGAAGACATGTGAATGCTTTATAAATGCCCAGGTTCCCTAGTTCTTAGAAATACTCGTATGCAAAGTTACAAACAAAAAGACCAATTATACATGTTAGATTCCTTTTATCTGACAAATGATTGACAATTCACAGATGTGTTGCAGTGCATTAATGCACATGCCTTTGCAGGCTCTACTTTGTGTATTAAGACATTCATTATTAATGATTAAATATAATTATTCTTGTGCTCACCAAGAGATCAATAAAAGCGAAAAGAGATCAGTGAAAAATGAAAGCTGCAGCACAAACAGCTAGCAGCCCATCTAGAAATATAATTTACAAAAGTGCCTTGCTCTCCAATATTTGTAATCAGTGAAAATAAATAAAGTATGTGTGGTGTTTAAAAATGAAACAAAAAAAAAAAAAAAAAAACACAACACAGTATCAAATCAAAATATTGCAAGTGTAAATACACTGTGAACTTCAATAATGTGTCAGTCTCTCAACAGTCACTGAATTCCATAAAACATCTGTGAAGAATGAATCTCCTAATTATATTTCCACCTGCAATTTGGAATGTGAATAAAGCCTCCACCACCAATAAAGCAGGCCGTACATGGGTCGAATTCCAAACGATTTTTCATTGTTCGTTCTGTAATCCGATGGTGCCACTAATGATTTTGAAAATCGGTCGTTTTTTTAAGAATTTTCCAGCATGCCTGATAAACAAAATGGGACGATCCACGAAAATTGGCCAGTGCCATTGCCCCACTAACAGAGCGAAAATCGACCGATTTTTCTTAGGTCTGATTTTTGAAAAGAAAAATAGTTCTAAAATTGACCCATGGCCTTAGTCCAATGTTTATTGTGAATGAGCTGCCTCCAAGAAACATAACCCATCTCTCAGGGAATGAGCACACAGTGCTGCATCCCAACAAACAACACTAATCCAGAAGGGACAAACCTTCAAAGAATAAAAAGGGACTTTTTAGGCACTGTACTAAACAAATAAAAATGTTTTTTATTAAAATCCATTAAGAAAGGTGGACCAACTAATCCACCAATTGGTACACCAATGTTTAAAACATAACAGTTCACACAATTGAATTTCATGATTCCATGTAAAGATGAATGAGCTACCCATGCATCACATTGGATTAAAAACTGCACGAGACCTTTTTTTAGCATTACAGTGCACCACAATGCACGGTATGTATAGTGCACTCTACTGTACAGTGCATTGGGGTGCCATTCACAACAACTGGCTGTTTGTGGCTCCTGACCTGTCAGTTCAGTGCCCAGTGGGTGCTGTAGTCATAGATGGACTGGGGCTTGAAATCCTCAGTACATACAAGCAGCCATTCTACAGTACAACATGCTAAAGAGGAACATCACAACATTGACCTCCTACCTCACCCCTTACCATTTTGGCTGGGTAGGCCACAAAACACATACTCACATGCCCAGTGATGCTCTGTGCAAATCCACCAAACCGCTGCTGTGTACTGGGTCCCGCACTGTTACCATCCTTTGTGATATCATTTGGAGGCGGTGTGTTTCCTATGGGTTCTTGCAGCCAGCCTCCTGATGATATGAGGCATGCAAGTACAAGTAGGAAACAAAGTCTCCTGGGATGTGTAACATGGATATCTCAGGAGACTGCAGGCAATAGAAAGATTGTTGTGGTCTAGGGCAGAATCTATGAAGTGGGGAGCAAAATTACCCCAAAAAGGTATTAAACAATTAGAATAACTTATTTGGCTATTGTTGGGGGGGGGGGGGGGGTTGGATGGTGGAAAGTGAAGTGGCCTGGGAGGGTAAAAGTTATCACTACCATGTGAAGCTCAGGGCCTGGCTATTAGAATGCAAAACACTGTATCTTAAAGTGGTAATAAACCCCAAAACCAAAAATGTAATATATTGCAATTACCAATTCTTATGTGTGGTGGCTGCATTAGTTTTATTCCCCACCCCCCTGTAGTCACCTAGTGATCTGGCCAATAACACACCTCCTGTATTAGAGTGCCTCCACACTGGACAAAGGAGCACAGAGACACCTTTGCACAGCAGCAAAGTCAATCGGGGGGTGGGGAGTGTTATGCAGGCCATAGATGGTCGAAAATCGGCCGATTTGTCGGCCGAAAATAAAATCGGCCGATTTTCGGATCGTTAGTGGGCGATTTGGTCGGCCGTTTTTTCGGTATTTTGGCCATTTTTGTTTTTCGGTAAAGTTGGAAAAAAATCGGCCGATTTTCGCGGCAATTAGTGGGCAAATCGGCCGATTTTTTACCGATAAAAAATCTGCGCATGAGCAGTGACCTGCAAGAGGAAGACAAAAAAGAAGAAAAAGAAGAAGAGGAAGAGGATGAAGAAGAGGATGAAGAAGAAGAAGAGGAAGAAGAGGATGAAGCAGAAGAAGAGGATGAGGATGAAGAAGAAGAAGAGGAAGAAGAGGATGAGGATGAGGAAGAAGAAGAGGATGAGGATGAGGATGAGGAAGAAGAAGAGGATGAGGATGAGGAAGAAGAAGAGGATGAGGATGAGGAAGAAGAAGAGGATGAGGATGAGGAAGAAGAAGAGGATGAGGATGAGGATGAAGAAGAGGATGAGGATGAAGAAGAGGAAGAAGAAGCAGAAGAAGAAGATGAGGATGAGGATGAAGAAGAAGGGAGGATGAGGATGAAGAAGAAGAAGAAGAAGAAGAAGAAGAAGAAGAGGATGAGGATGAAGAAGAAGAAGAAGAAGAGGATGAAGAAGAAGAAGAAGATGATGAGGATGAGGATGAGGATGAAGAAGAAGGATGAAAATAAGAAGAATTCCAGTCCAGCAAAAAGTATCTCTGCAGAGAGCTTCGCTATTTCTGACAGTTCTCTGACAGTACTTTGACATTTACAGCGGTTGAAACATTGTATCTATTTGTTTCTGAATAAAAACATCTGTATCCTAAATGGAAACAAATAGATAGAATGTTTCAACCGCTGTAAATGTGAAGGAACTGTCAGAGAACTGTCAGAAATAGCGGAGCTCTCTGCAGGGACACTTTTTGCCAGCTGTAGAAGGGATGAAAATCGGCCGATTTTTTTTACCATTGATGGTAACGTCGGCCGCTTGAACGACCGAATTTTCGTTTTTTAAAAGAAAAATCTGCTGTTTTTTCTCCCCATCTATGGCCTGCATTAGTGTACTAGCAGATTTAGATACACTAAAACTGAACTCCAGGTCACACTTTATATGCAGTTACAGTAAGAGAGTTTTTCCCCATTTTGCCATAAGGGTTTTACATAGATAAATAAAAGCTGAACATTGTACACATCTCTATCCAGTGTTAAATGGTTTATCTCAACCCACCTCAATACATCTGCAGGGCAGCTTACTCTGTTTCAATATCAGACTTACTAGCCAGATCACCAGGTGAAAATAAAAGAAAGAAAGCCTAAAAAAAAAAAAAAACAAATGCAGCCACCACATCAAATAACTGGTAAGCTGCAATATAATAAATGTTTGCTTTTGGGTTTAACACAGAGTGCATCCTGATATCATATAGTTTACATCAGCCACAACGAAAGAAGTCAGTGACCTCAGTGTCAAAAAGAGAACGCTTGCAATCTGCTGATCCAAATGTCACAGCCCACACGTACCTTTAGCTAGACTTCTCTCAGAGCCGGACATGTCTGCAGATGTTGTTGTCACCTTTGGAGGAACCTGCATGGCAAGAATAATGTAATGATTGAAATTCTTGTGTTTTGCACACGGCTCAGCAGTATGTTTTTAGCAGCCTAGCACAGGACTCACCAAGAACAAGGGTGTGTGTCAGGAAGGATCTGCTTGCAGCAATTATAAAGCAGCTGCTTTCTGTCTCCTCCCTTCGCTTACTGATCAACTGGAAGCAAACACAGTGAATGAAAAGAGAAGTGTGTATACTTTATGTATAAATGCCATGTGGCTCATACAGTTAAAGACCTCTCTGCCAGTGTATAGCACTGAAACGCCAAAGCAATTCTACACATTTTTCTAGAGTGTATGTATAAAAAACCTTTTCCTGTTTTAAATAGATCAAGAAATGGTAAAAACTGATGTCAGTTTTTTTTTTATTCTTTTTTTTGTGTATATGTCACCGGAAATAAAAAGATATCGCTACAATCTGATGTGAATTTCTCCACTTAGACATGCTTCATCTGCGTATTCAGTGGTAGTAATATGTGCGTGATTTGTTAAACAGCTGAGACAAATAGGTTTGTCATTAAGTTACTGAATAAAGGGTCACCTTCCCAAATAAAAATCAATTAATCTATATAAGTCAAGTATATATGTCACCAAAGAAACACATTATCTGGAAGAAATAATGGGGTTGCCATTGCCAATCCCCTCCTAAAAATGTTAGCTGGCAGCAGGAGAGCCAGCCAGCCAACTACCATTTTAAACAAGTAGAATCAGTGAAGGCAGATTACATGTTCCTATCATAAGAGGTTTTGACTTTAAGGCCCCTTTCACAAGGGCGATCAATCAGGTCCACCTGTCAATTTTTCAGGAGGACTTGATCGTAAGGTCAGTTTAGGTCCCCTAAGAAAAAGGAAGGGGATCTGTCCTCTTCCGTTTAGGTGAAGTGTATCAAAGGAAGTCAGGTGTAAACAGGTAGCAAAGTCCTCTTACTCCCAGCTGCCCATAGAGCAGGCTCTGTCCATGTCCGCTCTATAAACTGATCAGATGTGGATATCTCTTCCACCCCATGTGTCCAGCGTTTGTCCAGGCAGAAACTTTTTTTGTTTTTTTAGTTTTGGATTAAAAACGGGAAAGTCAGAGCCCTTAGGCTTCATATACACGAGCAGCTCCTAAACTCGAGTTTAGGAGCTTTTGGAATTTTTTGCAAAAGCTCCTAAACTCAACTTCATAAATGCCAATGTGTCCATGTACACATAGGCTTTTAGCAGAGTTTAGGAGCTGCCGCGTTTAGGTGAGATTAACCACTTGCCCTCCTGAGGATTTACCCCCCCCCCCCCCTTCCTTCCTGACCAGGCCTTTTTTTGCTATTTGGAGCTGCACTATTTCAACTGGTAATTGCGCAGTCATGCGATGTTGTACCCAAATGAAATTTATGTCCTTTTTTCACACAAATAGAGCTTTGTTTTGGGTGGTATTTGATCACCTGTGCACTTTGTTTTTTGTGGTATAAACAAAAAAAATGGCAAATTTTGAAACTATATTTTCTCATTTCTGTCATAAAAAATATCCCAAAAACTCAAATTTTGTCAAAAATTTAGGCCAAAATGTATTCTGCTACTACATGTTTTTGGTAAAAAAAAATCACAATAAGTGTATATTGATTGGTTTGTGTGAAAGTTATATACAATCTACAAACTATGGTATAAATACTGGAATTTACACAGCTTTGCCTTTCTGACTGCCCATCACATTTCTTGAGGTGCTAAAATGCCAGGACAGTACAAACACCCCCAAATGACCCCTTTTTTGGAAAGTAGACACCCTAAGCTATCTGCTGAGAGGCATATTGAGTCCATGGAAGATTTATTTTTTTCCACAAGTTTTTGGAAAATTACAAAAACTACACAAAGTTGTCATTTAAATTATCTATTTCTCACACAAGCCATGGGTATATGTGGAATTACACCCCAAAATACATTCTGCTACTTCTATTGAGTATGGGGATACCACATGTGCGAGACTTTTAAGAAGCCTAGCCACATAAAGAAGCCTGAAATCCAATGACCACTTTGAAAGCCTGAAGGTGCATAACTTCCTTATTTAATTTCCTCACTGCCTATCAATGGTTTCAGAGGCCCTGAAATGCCAGGATAGCACCAACCCCCCCCCCCCCCCCCCCCCCCCCAAATGACCCCTTTTTGGAAAGTAGACACCACAAGGAATTTAAAATGAGGCATGCTGAGTATTTTGCAGATCTCATTTTTTCTCACTTAAAATATAAAAAAAAGAAAAGAAAAAATATGTTTTTGTTTTCTCTTTCTTTATTTTCCAAAACTTTGTGGCAACAAATGAGATCTGCAAAATACTCACCATGCTTCTTATCAAATTCCTTGGGGTGTTTACTTTCCAAAAAGGGGTTATGGGGGGGTTGGTGCTGTCCTGGCATTTCAGGGCCTCCGAAACTGTGATAGGTAGTCAGGAAGTGTAATGAGGAAATAAAGCCCTTTAACAGCCTGAAGGTGCTTATTGGATTTTGGGGTCCTGTACTTGGCTAGACTGCCAAAACATCTCTCACATGTGGTATCCCCATACTCATGAGAAGTAACAGAATGTATTTTGGGGAGCAATTCCACATAGACCCATAGCATGTGTGAGCAATTAACAATTGACAATTTTGTGTAAAAAAAAAATTATTATTTTTTTTGGCATTTTCCAAAAACTTGTGGTAAAAAAATTTATTCTTATATTGACTTAACATGCCTCTCAGCAAATAGTTTGGGGTGTCTACTTTCCAAAAAGGGGTCATTTTGGTGGGTGGGTACATTTTATGCCCAGCATTAGAAGCAGGGGCAGACTGACAACTCATGGGGCCCCCGGGCAATTGGGGATCATGGGGCCCCTGTGCCCTTGCCCACACTTAAACCACCAAAAAAGCCTATGAAAAGGTACCAGGGGCATCTCATGGGGCCCCCTACTGACCCAGGGCCCTCGGGCAGTGCCCGAGTTCCCAAATGGTCAGTCCGCCCCTGATTAGAAGCTTATGCCACACATCACTCATTCTTCTAACAACCTGAAGACCAAGCCTTTTCTGACACTTTCAGTATTTTTTTTGCTAGGAAATTACTTTGAACACCCAAACATTATATATTTTTTTAAAGCAGACACCCAAGTGAATAAAATGGTGGGTACTTAAATTTTTTATGTCACATAGTACTCACGCAGCAATTTTTCAAATGCACATTTTTTTTAAAAATACACGTTTTTTTTCTTTTAATGCACAAAAGCACAATATATTGGCAAATTATTTGCTAAAATATAAAATATGATTGTATGTAAAGTAAATAGATACCAAACATGACATGCTTTAAAACTGTGCATGCCCCGTGCAATGGCGACAAACTGCATACATTTTTATTATCCATAGGCAACGCTTTAAAAGCCTTTACAAGCTACCATTTTAGATTTACAGAGGAAGTCTAGTGCTAAAATTACTGCCCTTGGGGTCAATGCTCGCACACCCAGGTGCGCGCACGTGTGGGGGGGGAGGATGCTTTTTTTTTTTAAAGTTATTTTGATTTAATTATTTTTACACTGTCCCTTTTTATATTGTTTTTTATCACTTTTAATGCTATCACAGGGAGTGCAAATATCCCCTATAACTTCAATGGGCATTGTCATTCTTTTTTGAGAAATCTGTAGTCTATCAGTCTCTAGATATCTCCTCTGCCCTTAAATTATCTAATATCACCAAGCTCAGTGTGATCAGATGCTTTCCCAATTGATAAATGGCTCTGTTTATATCCTGCGAAACTGAAGTAATGAAATGCTCTTAGCTTCCGATTTCTTAGACTATAGAGATGATTGGCACCATTCCGATCTCCAATCAGCTGTATGGTCAGCTGGCAGAAACACCGGCTGCATTTTTAGGTTCCCTCGATGGCACGGGACTGGCTGAGAAGGCTGTGGAAGGCAGCGGGGGCATTTTCTCCCACTGCTTGTAAAAGCAATCTTGCAGCTAATTAGCCACTAGGATTGCTTTTACAATCTGACAATTGCACCTGACATGCTCAGAATCCTGTAGGCCTCTTCACTAGAGTACCTTTGCATTGACATTTTGGCCACTAAATTTATAGGTACCTAGTGCGACTCACGGGAACAAGAGCACCTGGCAGTCAGGGGCTGCTTGAACTGCTACAAAAAAAATTTACCGGCAAGTGTTAACAGAGATCAGGTCTGATTCTGCGAACACTGCAGTTTTGTGTGCAATGTATGTAAAGTGAGAGTGAGCTACTGACACTGCACTTGCTGGGGGAGAGGGGGGGTAAGCATAGGGGCTAAGCGGGTGCTGGCAGGTGTGGGGCTGATCCTGCTAACTCTGCATTTTTGGGGACACTATACTAATGTGAACGCTGGTATAATTCTGATCTGATCAAAGATACTGATCCATTTAGACACTATACTATCAATGGAGGTTTATTGTGTATGTGAACGTGTTCCTGGCAATCAAGGAGTTAAATGTGATTACTGGTGTACTAGCGGGCAATCTGATGCTATCTGGGAGGGGCACTAACTGACGGTAACACTATCTGAAGTCACCTGTGACACTAATACAGTGATCAGTTTTACTCATGTGTGTCTCTGGGACGGATTTTGTAAGAAAAAAGTGTAAGTGTAAACACAGGTACAGGAAGATCCCTGATAGGCCAGTTATCGATCATCCGCCTTAGGCCAACCATCACTGGCCTAAATCAGATGATTGATCCCTTGGGAATGAAACCACGGCACCTGCAGGGCGGCCCGCGAAAACCACGGGAGCGCAAATCAAGTATATATACGTGATTTTGCGCACCCGTGCCACCCTGTAGCAGTATTTCTGCTATAGGGCAATCGGGAAGCGGTTAAAGCTCCCTCTCCTAAATGCGGAAGAATCACGTTCAGGATAGGAACGTTTTCACCGCTGACCGTGAGAAAACGCAAAACACAGCAAAACCGCGGTACCGCGTTTGTTTTGTATTTTCCAGCGGTCAGGGTAGGCTCGTGTACATGAAGCCTTAAAGTGGTTGTAAAGGCTCAAGGTTTTTCACCTTCATGCAGGGGCGGACTGATCATTTGGAAACTCAGGCACTGCCCGAGGGCCCAGGGTCAGTAGGGGGCCCCATGAGATGCCCCCTGGTACCTTTTTCATAGGCTTTTTTGAGTTTGGGCAAGGACACGGGCCCCATGATCCCCTATGGCCTGGGGCCCCATGAGTTGGCAGTCCACCCCTGCCTTCATGCATTCTATGCATGAAGGTTAAACACCTGCTGTGTGCAGCAGTGCCCCCCAAGCCACTCAATGCTTACCTGAGCCTCATTGCAATCCAGCGATGTGAACGAAAGTCTCGGGTGGCCCGGGTCTCTTCCTCCTCATTGGCTGAGACAGCAAGCGGGAGCCATTGTCTCCCACTGCTGTCAATCACAGACAGTCAGCCAATGAGGAGTGAGAGTGGGAGGGACCAAGTCTGGCTCCATGTGTGAATGGACACACGGAGTAGTGGGTGCCCCCATAGCAAGCTGCTTGCTGTGGGGGCACCCGACAGGAGGGAGGGGCCAGGAGAGCCTGCAGGGAACCAGAGAAGAGGAGGATCCAGGCTGCTCTGTGGAAAACCACTGCACACAGAAGGTAAGTATAGCATGTTTGTTGTTTCCCCCCCCCCAAAAAAAAAATTAACCTTTAGAATCGCTTTAATGGGCAGCACAGTGGCTAAATGGTTAACACTTCCGCCTGGCAGTACTAGGGCCGTTGGTTCGAAGCCCAACCATGGCACCACCTGCCTGGAGTTTGCATGTTCTCCCTGTGCCTGTGTGGGTTTCCTCCAGGTTTTTCGGTTTCCTCCCACACTCCAAAGACATGCTGGTAGGTGAATTGGCTCCTGTCTAAATTGGCCCTAGTATGTGTATGTATGAATGTAAGTTAGGGACCTTAGATTGTGAGGATTAGGGACTGATGTGAATGTACAATATATATATGTAAAGCGCTGTGTTAAATTGACGGCGCTATATAAGTACCTGAAATAAATAAATAAATAATCTTTTTGTTTCTTTGTTTCCTGTTGGGGAGATTTCCCTTTAATAAAGACACAACCGGTAGTGAGATGAAATCTCTTAAAAGTGAAGGAGAGACAGTTGTCACCATAACAAGTGTCTCCATTGAAAGATTTCCCCTCTAATCCTGTTCTGGTGACAAATGTAACATTTTGGATTTCTCATCACTTTCAGTCCCTTTGACAATGAATGGTGACTAGGACAAACAGGGAGGGAGAATCCATCCTGCAAGGGCACAGACAGCCATAAAAACTTTGTGCAAAGAGTCTAATGAGAGTGTCAGATCAAAGATGTAAGTGTCCAAATAACATTGGTGACTGTTCGTAACAAAGCATAAAACATCTAAAACCTGCACTTCTTCAAGGCTCAGATATTGTATGCAGTTGAGTCAAAAACAGCATGGACACCAGAGGTTTGATTGTAAACTAGCATATACCCACAGCATTTTGCTGTTACACTGATCCTGGGTATGTTCTATTTTACACACTGCAAACAATCTGGTCTCTGCAAAGTTTTTAAAGTAGAATAACTGCCCAACACTAACTAGCCGTAAAATGAATGCAGTCTATTTGTTACTTAAAATAATAAATAGGTTTATACTTAACTGCTCTGTACAGTGCTATTTCACAGACTCATGCTCTTCTGGGGTCCCCCGACAGCAATCGTGGCTCCTCCTCTTCTGTGTATATCACATTGCAAGCTACTTGCCATGTGGGCAGATGTGCGGTTCGCTCTGGAGCAGGGCATAGACAAACACACAGTGGAGAGAGCCTGACACTGAACAACACCACATCACCCTGCACCACCCATGGAGGAAGCCTGGCAACAACCAACACCAACCACCCCCTCCCCTGGCCCCGGTCAAAAGAGCCTTCCACCACCCCCCATATACCTGCCACCATGACACTTCCCACCTGGCATGAGAGAGAGAGACACTCACCTACACAGCTCTGGACAACCCCGGGAGTGGGAGATGGACTCTGTGTACACAGTCAAGCAGCCCACAGCCTCTCACAGATCCCACCTGGTCCCCATGCCAAGTGTGTTCCTTCTTCTGCCGCCCCCCCCTGAAAAATGCCGCCTTAGGCAAATGCCTTGTTTGCCTTCTGGTGAATACACCCCTGCACACACAGTGCACTGCCCCCTGCTCACAAAATTTGACTGACAGCAGCAGGAACCAATAGCTCCTGCTGTTCTCAGCCAAGCCTGTAAAACCTGGAAGAGAGAAAGAGAAAACCTTCAGCTGGGCACAGTGTGGGATCAATACAGGGGTTAGGTAAGCATTGGGGAGGGGGTGGGGGGGACACAGTAAAAGGTTTTTTTAACTAAACCCACAACAGTAAAATCAGTCTGTATATGCAGTGAAGCATGCTTGTTATACTCACTGTGGAATCTAAGGGGTTAATCCTCTGCAATGCATAGAAAATGCTGATTGATCCTTACTTCTCTGATCCTCCCCTTCTTCCAGTGTCCCCCTCTTTTCTCCTGATAAGACATATCGTGTGGAGACACTCTGCACATGCTCAGTTTGTTATGTATTGCTAGAGAGGTTTTTTTTTTTCTATGGGAGAGTGCATGTGATCAGCACAGGGCCAATCAGCACTGTCCATACAGAGGGTCAGGGGTCCTGTATCCTCCTAGAGCAGAAAGAAAACTTCTTCTACAAACTTTAACCAGTGCTCTGCTGAACACTGATAGAAGTCACAAGACGGCTCTAAATGCTGATGAGAAAAGGTATTTATCAGTTTATAAAATAATTGCACTTCCATGTTGTGTGTACTGTGGGAGACCAGATAGAGTGAATGCAGGGTCCTGGGTTTGGTAACACTTTAATGCAGAGAATGAACTAAGGTTAAAAAAACAGACTTTGAACCAATTTAAAAATGTTTCCTGTAACCTGTGTAAAACAAATGTAAATACTCATGTTCAGCCTGATCCACTTATGATCCCCTGTGTCTGCCAGTGACAACTGCAGGGGAGAGAAGAGAGTGCTTGACAACAGCCGGGAAATCCAGGAGTAGCAAGGTCACCCATAGGTCCCATGTCCCAGCTGTTCTCATTGCTTCCTCCTC